TTCTTCTTCTTCACTATTCTTTATTTATTTATTTTTGTCTTTTGGTTTTTCCTTACAAAATCATAAAATCTCAAATTGTAATAAATCTTGTTTTCTTTGAAGGCACGCGCCCGTGTGTGTTTGTGTGTATGTGCAAATTTATGAGTTTATATTCCTCTCATTTTATATAATCCTCGTCTAATGTAATTTCTAACTTATAATTCTTGTCGTTTTACATAAAAAAAAAAAAAAAAAAAAAAAAAACATCTCTTACAATTTATGCAATATTACTTCTTATATTGATTTTCCTTTTTTTTTTAATTTTTTTGGTTTTCCTTTTTTTATTATTATTATTATTATTATTATTATTATTATTCATAGGATTGTGAAATCTTAATTGTAAATATAAATCTCTTTCATCTTTACGTATCAATTAATATATATATTTTTCTTCTTTTTTTTTTTTTTTTTTTTTTTTTACTCTACGAACCATTATCCAAAGAGCTATTCGAATTTCATCTCCTTTAACCGAATAATAAAAATTTTCAATTAATTTACTGTCACGTGCACTTTTGATTTATGAAATATATAAAAGACCTTAATAGCGAAATAAATGGCAAAAATTTCTTTTACATTCTTCATTAGTTATTAAAAATTATCTCTCAATTTAAATCACATTACATTGTGAATAATACGAAGTAACCATTTCCAATTACAGATTCGTATCTATTCTGCGTTCCAAAAAAAAAAAAAAGAAAAAAAAAGAAAAAAAGAAAAAACAAAAAAAGTAAAATAAAAAAAGAAAAGAAAGAAAAAAAAAGTTAATTAAAATCGAATAAATTTCTAATATTAATAACATTCCAAAGTATTAATGGCAATGACAAAAAAACTTTCAATCGAACAAATAACGTAACATAGCTTGATTTCTTTTTTGTTCCTTTTTTTTTTTTTTTATTTTTTTTTTTTTTTTAACTGAATTTCCTTTTATCCATAAAATCATAGGATCTGCAAAAAGGAATGCAAAATATAAAGTAATCGTCGGCCGCAAGATGGACTGAAGTTAATTTCAGAGAGACAAAATCCCTTTCGATCCCTTTTCTCTCCCTCTCTTCCTCTCTTCTCTCTCTCTCTCTCTCTCTCTCTCTCTCTCTATCTCTCTTTTACCATCCTAACTTTGTCCTTGTCGTAGCTCTCTCATTCTAGATTTCCACGTTTTCTCTTTGCGTCCAGCCGCGTCCTGCCTCGACAAATTGGATTCGATAATTGCGAGGTGCGATCGCACCAACCGTAGCTACATCAGAGTGCTCTCGATCAAGGGGAGAATCAAGAGGAAGAGGAGAAAGAGGAGGAAGAGGAGGAAGAGGATGATGAGGAGGATGACTACCTTCGTACGTATCCTTCATCACTTGCTTCTCTGTTTCCGTTCGCTCGTAGACTACAAAATTAGGGGATCGACGTTATTAACACGAATCGCATAACCAAAGATCTTTTAATAGCATAAATCCAAAAAGAAAAAAAAAGAAAAAGAATATTCTACGAAATAATCTAACAAAATTGTAAATATTAATTCAAGAGAATTAAAAAAAAAAAAAAAAAGAAAAAAAAAAAAATTAATTTGTAATTCTTAAGTCGATATCACGTGTTTAATAATATTTATATTTTATTAAACAAATTTTTAATAATATTTAAAATCGTATAAATTATATTTATATTATATCGTATAAAATAATATCGTATTAAGTTTAATGATATTTATATTTACATTGAAATATTTATTTATACGAAGATATGGGAAACGAAAGTTTATTTTTTTTTCTTCTTTTTTTTTTTTTTTTTTTTTTTCTTTCATTAATTCGATCTTGCGTCATTCAAGGATTTTTCTTTTTCTTTTTTCTTTTTTTTCTTTTTTTCTTTTTTTTTTTTTCTTATCGAAAAAATCGATGCTATTGGAAAACATTCGATTGCAATTATTCCAAAATAATGATACAACAAAGTTATATAAATTAAATTGAAAAAAAGGAACAAAGGAAAAGATAAAAAAAATTATTTATATGAAAATTTTTAAAGTAACAACGTTATATGAAATAATTTTTAATAATATATTTTATTACGTATAAATTATATTTACGTTGTATAGAAATAATTGTATCGTATTTAACAATATTTCTATATTATATTAAATATTTATTCGATCGAGGATCGAGGAACGCTTAATGATATTATTAATTCGAAATATTCATTATGAAATGAATTTTTAAATGAACGTTGAATAACAATCGTAAAAAGGAAAAAGAAGAAGAAAAGATAATAAAAGAGAAAAAAAAAAAAGAAAAGAAAACGAAATAGAGAAAGAAATTTTTACTTTTCTTTTTGACTTCGTGAAAATAATTTAACGCGAATAATTCAAGTAACTTAAATAACTCAAATAACACGACTAAACTCCAACCATGTATTATTATTATTATACATAAGTAACTAACGTTAATATCAATTAGAATCGTTATATCAATAACGATTCGTTTATTAGAACATTTTCAATTATTGTAAATGTTATATGTTATCGTAAAATGTTATCGCATTGGATTACACGAACGAACGATATAACGATGGAAATTCACATAATCAAGTGAAAATTGATAAGAACAAATCAATAATAAAAAATTTTCTCCTTTTTTCTTTTTTCTCTTCTCTCTTTTTTTTTTTTTTTTTTTTTTTTTTTTAACGTTAACAAACGAATTGCAACGTATGATCGTTCGAAGAGAAATGAAAAGTTGAATAATTCACGGCTCGAATAATTGTTAACGCTATTAATCGACCACCGGAGTCTACAAGCAATAGTTGGTAAAAAAAAAAAAGGTCGAAGAGAAAAAAAAAACGCAAACAAACAAACAAACAAACAAACAAACAAACAAACAAAAAGAAAAAGTAAAAGCGAAAGCAAAGGCAAAAAAAAAAAAGAAAAAAGAAAAGAAAAGAAGAAACGAAACGAAACGAAACGAAACGAAACGAAACGAAACGAAACGTAACGTAACGTAACGTAACGTAACGTAACGAAACCGGGTCAAACGTCAGGAAATATTTCTCGATAAAATATATCGATCTAAATCGAGAGAGGAACAGGACACCGGTCCATGTACACGTTTTCAACCACATTATGTACGCAATATGGGTACGTACGGTGAACCACGAACGATCACCGCGGATCAGCAGTGGTTAAATCCGTCCACGTAAAAGGTTCCGTTTAAATCCACGAATCCCACGAATCCTCGTTCACAGGAATTTCTATCGGCAAAGTGAGAGAGAGATAGATAGATAGATAGATAGAGAGAGAGAGAGAGAGAGAGAGAGAGAGAGATGGTGAGTGAGATGAGGATAGAGATAGAGAGAGAGAGAGAGAGAGAGAGAGAGAGAGAGAGAGAGAGAGAGAGAGAGAGATAGAAAGAGAGACAGAGTGCAGAGTTCGAGCTGGCAGAGTCCAACGCATATCACGTATAGCCGATTCTATCGTTATCGAATCCTCCGAAAGGCGTTATCCAATTTTGTAGGTAAGCGTCGTAAAAGTGAAAAAAAACAAAAAAAAAAAAAAAAAAAAAAAAGAAAATAAAAAAAAAAAAGAACGCATATATATGTATATATAAAAAAAAAACAAAAAAAAAAAAAGGAAAGAAAGAAAGAGATATTATAAAAAAGTTATCTATCCTGAATCGATGTTAAAATATCAAGCGCGTAATTATAAATAGTATAATATCGTGTTTTCCGTCTGATCTGGATCAAGCAAGTTGCTAGAATCGTTTATGACGCCGAATAATTAATCATTTTATCTAACGATGAGCATAATATCTATTAATACATATATATATATATATATATATATATATATATATATATACAATGTACGTTTATGTATGTACGTACGTATATATATATATATATATATATGCAACATACACCATTGTACATCGTTGAACCGATAATTAATTAAATTACAAGCCGAACACATCCACGTTATATCATTAACTTACTCCCAACGGGGAATGATGACCTAACGTATCCATCCATAATAATCATTCGAAAATGAGAATCGGCTCGCTTTGCAATTTTTCATTTTTTCCCCCGTTGGTTTCGGATCGATACAAATTGGTGGAGGGGGGCGGGGTATAGGGGGGGAAGAGAAAGAAAAAGAGAGAGAGAGAGAGAGAGAGAGAGAGAGGGAGAGAGAGAGGGAGAGAGAGAAAGAAAGAAAGAAACGGTGGGGGTGGGAGAAATGCAAAAAAAAAAGGACACAAAAGAAAAAAAAAAAAAAAAGAAAAGAAAAAACGTAGGAACAAAAAAAATGCACCGAAGCGTTCCAATAAAGCTCTTTGATGATCCGGCTTCGTTGTTTAGACCGTGCTTGGAATTCTCGTGACTTTAAAATCACGTCCCGCGTCGTTGCATTTTCCGGCCGTTGAATACGTACGTATACGTACATACACATTCGAATATATTCGCCTTTTGTGGTCAAATAATAAATTATATTATTAATATCCAACAAAAATTATACATATATATATATATGTATTATGCGTATGTTTATGTGTATGTGTATGTTTATGATGTGTTTAACAATCACATATACGTCCGTATATTGTTGATTCTGAAAAGAATTTAATTATACGGGGGTGGGGGTGTGGGGGCGGAATGATATTTAATTTTTCCTGTGTTACGTTATAAATGTCGTTGTTATATATTCATCCTCATAATAATATTTAATATAAAATTTCATCATTCCTAAACACTTTTATTAATCATTACATTTATTATAAAATGCATATATATATATATATATATTTTTTTTTTTTTTATAATTTGTTAAATCATTTTTATTTAATCGTTGATTGACGTTAAGAAAAAGAAAAGAAAAAAAAAAAAAAGAAGAAAGAAAAATAAATAAATAAATAAACGAAAGGAGAAAAAGTATGGAAGATGAAGTGATAAACAAATAATTGGATATACATATATATGTAAATAAAATTACTTACACTGAATGGTATAAGTGAATTCTTCACCGAAGGAATCATCCATTGTTGGAACAGTGACATAACAACTTGACAGCCAACGACGACTTCCAAGATGCGTTTTATCAAAAACCTACGAATAAAAAAAAGAGACGAAAAGAATGAAAGAAGGAAAGAAACAGAGAAAGAGAAAGAGAAAGAGAAAGAGAGAGAGAAGAAAAAAAAGGAAAACAAAAAGAAAAATAAAACAAAAAATAAAACAAAAATATACAGAAAAATATATAAACGATATCCGTAGGTACGAAGCGTCGAAAGCCAATACTCTCTCTCTCTCTCTCTCTCTCTCTCTCTCTCTCTCTCTCTCTTTCTCTCTTTCTCTTCCTCTCTCTCTCTCTCTCTTTCGACGTGTCGTTATTATTTTGAATAACGCGTACCCAACACACGAACGTACCACCGTTCAATTTCACCCCGGCAAATGTCTACCGTTTTTATCTCCACGAACTCGATGCCCCGTCATGCTTGTGTTTCGGCTTTTATTACTATTGTGTCGAGCATACGAATGAATTTCAGGAAATTTTATCCAAGCAAACCGACGGTCAACCGACGGCGCAAGTCGCAATTTGATTCTATGATATCTATTAAATATCGTGACCGTTGTACCAAATACTTTCGTTATTTCATTTTCTTCACGTTAAAACTCGCTTATCTACTCTCTTGTTGCCAATGTTGTTTCCCCTTTTTCCTTTTTTCTCTTTTTCCTTTTCTTTTCTTTGCTTTTCCACTCGTTTCTTTTTTTTCTCCTCTTTCCTTTATTTTTTTCTTTCTTCTTTTTTTTTTTTTTTTTTTTTTTTTACTTTACCTTTCTCTTTTGCAAGTATTCAGAAGTAACTCCGATAAGAATCATTCCGATAAAGGAGTAATCGAAATTGTTTTGACTATTTTTTTTATTTTTTTTATTTTTTTTTTTTTTTTTTTTTAATTATTATTTTTATCGAAAGAAGAAAAAAAGAAATAAAGTATCAAGACAGATTATATTTCGGTTGAAAATTATTCAGGAGAAAAAAAAAGAAAAAGAAGAGAAAAAAAAAAAAAAAAAAAGAGAAAAATTGCTACATTATCCTTTTTCCATTATTCGTAGGTACTCGAGTTCTTTAATATTTATTATAAGAATTTTTATTATTTTATTATATCATTATTAAAGAATGAAATACACAAGTATTTTATTCGCAAATTTGATAAAATTTATTGATATTATTTATCGATCAATTCGAATAATGAATGCTTTTATATCGATTAATGAAAATAATCAAGATCTTTCTTATTATTTCAAATTTTCCATTACAAAAATTCGATATCAAACGTTTGTTAGAATTTATTGGATCGGTCGTATATATTATTTCAACTTGCTTGCATAAATTTGGATTTGGCTAATATGATTAATTAACGTTGGAATTTACAATATTACGCATTTGAATAAACGAGATTAATATATTTATTTTTCTTTTTTTTGTTTTCCGTTCTTCTTTTTTTTCGTTTTCTTTTTTTTTTTTTTTTTTTTCTTTCCTTCCTCTCCCTTTTTCATTTTAATCACAATTAATTCAGTAGAAATTTTTTTTTGATATTACTTAACGGCCAATCCAACGAAATTATTAATGTCGCTGCTTTGTACATATAAATTTGGGATTGGCTAATGTGATTAATGTCAGAATATTCGATATTTTTATATTTAAATATAAACAACGCGCTTTAATCAGTATTATGCTAATAATAATATCAGACGCTTATTACTTATCGTCCGTAAGTAATAAAATATTCATGGGTTTTGTTCGTACGTTATGTACGACTTGAATTGATTAATAAATAATATCGAGATGAATAATATTTTTCAACGTTCAAATGAAGATTTTTTTCGATAAAGAAAAAGAAAAAGACGAAAGAACAAAAGAAAATTGGGAGGAGGAGGAGGAGGAGGGGGGAGGGGAGGGGAGGGGAATGAGGAAAAAGAGAAGAACAAGGACAACGACGACAACAACGACAGCAATAACAAAAAAGATCCCATGTAAAAGGAAGAAAGAAAGAAAGAAAGAAAGGAAAAAAGAAAAAAAAAAAATTCAACATTACTTATTATACAACTCCCAACTATATTAATCGTGATAATAATGAATCGAAATTTGAGAAAAGACACCTCTCTGACGAGAGCAAGAATAACAGAAAGAAAGATAAAGGGAGACAGACTGAGGATAAGAGACGAAGACAGAGAGAGAGAGAGAAAGAGAGAGAGAGAGAGAGAGAGAGAGAGAGAGAGAGAGAGAGTGAGAAGATGGTTGGATCATAAGCGTCACGAAAGGAAAGTAAGGTCGATTAATTTTCTCAGGAGTATCCTGAGAGGACGATGGATATTCTTCATAAGGATCCATAGTATGTCAGATGGAAAGCTTTAGGTTATACGAGTTGGTAACACGAAAAGGAATACATCACTATGTTCAGAAACGAAGTCCATCTAAGCGTACCCTTCCTTCTATTT